CTTGTATAGTTATGAAGGGCTGTTTTGTGACCCAGTATGTGATCTATCTTGGAGAATGTTTCGTGTGCACTCGAGAAGAAAGTATATTCTGTTGCTTTGGGATGCAGAGTTCTAAATATATCTGTCAAGTCCATCGGATCCAATGTCTCATTCAGGGCCCTTGTTTCTTTATTGACCGTGTGTCTAGATGATCTATCCATTTCTGTAAGTGGAGTGTTAAAGTCCCCTGCAATTACCACATTCTTATCAATAAGGTTCCTTATGTTTGTGAGTAATTGTTTTATATATTTGGGGGCTCCTGTATTCGGCGCATAGACATTTATAATTGTTAGCTCTTCCTGATGGATAGACCCTGTGATTATTATATAATGCCCTTCTTCATCTTTTGTTACAGCCTTTAATTTAAAGTCTAGTTTGTCTGATATAAGTATGGCTACTCCACTGGAGGACTTTTAAGCAAGGGGTGAAGTGATCACGTTTGTATTTTGCAAGTTACCAGATCAGCATTCTGTTTGCATTGTGCCAAACAAACAGCATGGGGCAGAGTCTATGGTGGCAGAGGGGTTGGAAGTGAGTGATGATGGAAGTTTAAGCTAGGATGATGGATGATGGTGTGGTGGCAGAGGTGGGTGTAGATGGCCACTGAAATGGCAGTTGGAGGAGGGTTTAATGAAGGAACTGTTTGCAGAGATGTAGGCAGGGGAAGGAACAATTCTGCAAAAAAAGGGGAGTGCTATCATTGATTATAATGGTACAACAGATATAAAGAAGGGCAACAAACACATGGGCCTGAAAACAGAGGAGCTGACAGAATGAGGCCACCAAGCAGAAATCTGCTCAGAGGGATTCTCCCATTGGGCCAAAGGTGGGGACCAGGTCTTCTCCTGAGTACAGAAGAAAAAGAGAATCTTCCCTTGATGGAGCCTACAGGCACTTCAGCAGTGGGAAAACCAGGAAGTCTGGGGCTTAGGGTGAACCTCAAAGGTTCGAATATACGAGATGGGCAAGAAGGGACAATGGGACACCCAAAAATGAACAGAGCACTGCCAGTTTCATTGGGGCAAACACACAGTGGCCAATGAGACAGTGTTTCTGGTTCATTCAGTCAGTCATCCACTGAATATATAACAAAATAACTAACAAAGAATACATAAAATAACAAAATAACAACAGTTATCACTACATTTGGACAATATTTTTTTGGAAGGACTCGTTTTCATCTGAGTTGTTTTCAGACAATTCACTGTGAGCTGTAAATCTGTGGAAATGCCTCTGCCCAAGGTGACAGATATAAGTAGCAGAACATTGCTCAGAACTACTGAAAACTTAACAGGCACCAAGGTGCTTTACAGTGAAAGGGCAGGTATGAATCTGTAAGACGTCTTTTGTGAGGCACACAGTTGCCCCCCCCCCACCCCCCAACGGCACAGAAACACTGTGGCGAAGGCAGGAGGAGAGAGCATCCAGGTACACGTGAGAGTGGAACCAGCCGGTCGGTGTTCGAGTTTGTGTCCCTGGAGCTCTGATGAGGGATGTGGCCCAGAGATGTATGTTTGAACGAGGCTGGTGTGAACTAAAAACGCAGACAGCGCAGACCTCGCACGTGAGTTTCCGGGAGTCACCCCGAGCAGCAAAGGCGCAGAATGGGTGAAAGATGAGGGCCACACACAGACACAGCAGCCGGCCACTCACAGGAGGAGGCTCTGTGAGCCCCAGACGATGTCAAAATCAAGACAGAAAGGATTCGCTGAGCAAACGAGCGAGATCTCCTTTTCAGAAGACACAAGGGTTTCAGTGAGCCCGCACCTAATAGGTTGGCATCCGTTCACATGAAGTAAAGACTGATGGAGGCACGAGGAGAAGCTGGCCAACCTACAGTCACAAAGGAAGACCTGAGGACCTCCGAGGGATCCAGGGGCACACTGGCTAAAAACGCCCCTTGAAACCGTGCGTTGTTTGGAGTAGACCTGTCTCAAGGAGACCACCTGCGGTGGGGCCGAGGTGAGACTGACTTAATGCTCACCTCCCTAGCCTCCCTCCCCTCCCTCCCTTCCCAAGGAGCGCTGCATTTCACTGCACTCCAGGGTTTCCAGGACACCCAAGACAGCACGACGTCATGGGAGCAGCTCTGCCAACTCAGGGCCATGACAAATGACTTTCTGTACTGGCTGAGGGCCAGGGGCCAGGGTACTGATAAGGAAGCTCTCCCAGAAAAAGGAGCTGATTTAAGGAGGAAGGAATGAAGATCTGCAAGAAAGTTTACTAACAAAGACCTTCACCTGCCTTCTGCAGCCACTCCCATAGCCATGTACTTTGTTTTTGATTTGGGGGTCCTGAGAACCAGAAGTGAGGTAAGGAGGAAAGACTGGTCAGTCCAATGGGAAATGTGGACCTCTATCCTAGGGCTCCTTCTGTCTGATATTCCCCTTGGAGCTCTGACCACAGGTGGTGAGCACTGAAGGAGGCAAGGCCAAGAGGCCAAGTCCAGGCCAGTTAATGCTTCTCTGTGCCCTCATGATGGCCAAGCTGCAGCTCTCAGCAAAGATCCCTTCTCACCTCCACCACCTCCCTGAAGGAACTGAGGTTAATGTAGACAAAAATCAGAGGACTGCATTTTGGGAGATATCTAGTCATGCTTCTGTAGTCTTCTCCAGGAACTCAGGAGTTGGCACCGTGTCTCACTCATTATGGCTCCTTCTTCCTTACAGGGGTCAAGCATGTGTTTTTGAGTGAATGTTGATTGATATCCACCAGTTATGGTGACTTTGGGCAATGATATCCCATCTTCTCCCCTACTCACCCAGACATTGTCACTTTTTATCTGTTCTGGCTATCTGACTTCTCATTCAGGAAGCTGTGACTTATTTCATCCCACAGTGGGGTTCAATGTCTGTGCACCAATCCCCTTTGTACTTATCTGTACAGGAAGGAGTGCTTATGCTGTGTATACATTAGAAGACGCTTTTCTTTCCTTTAAAGGTTTATGAGAAGACATAAGACAGAAACTCCCTCCTTCTTTGCCACCAAACCTAACATTTATTTGTATCTGCAACCATCCTATCCTCGCCTCTTCCATCCTCTTACTGGAGGCCACAGGTGTGTCCACAGTGTTCTGGATCCAGTGTCCTCTCATCCCCTTGAGGACTTCAATCTACTACCCCTCTCGCCCCCTACATCTTCACCCTCTCTCTCTTCACATGCCTACTACCTGTGCCGGGCACTGTCTGAGTACTTCACCTTCCTTTAGTCCCCACGAAGGCAGGTCTACCACACCAAGGTCAGGGACCCGGTTGGGAAAAAGTAAGAGCCCTAACTTATGGGACAGGGAGAGCTGGGTGGATGGCCATGAAAGTAGTTAAAGGCCTAGAGGCCAGGAATGGGGTGGGGGAAGATCGCGATGGGGCATGTAATTTGTGGAGGGGAGGTCTTTGTGTCAGAAATGGCCTCCACCTGCCTTCCAGGTAAAATAGTAAATAAAAAACACAATCACCTCCCAGGGTGGCAGAAAGTAGTGCCAATCTTAAAAAGGATGCAGGGGTGATGAGTACTCCATGACTACTCCATGTAGTTCCCCATTACGGCCCCCAAAACCAGTCAGGCCCTGGAGAATGACAAACTACAGCATAATCAATCAAGTAGTAATCCAATTGTAGCCACAGTTCCAGCCACAACAGTTCTTCTGGTAGAGGTGGGTGAATGTAGTCTCAGATACATGGTGTGACACTATAAACCTGGTGAATGTTCTCCTATCTATTGCCGTCAAAAGCATTGATCAGAAAGAGTTTGTAGGCATGGAACGGACAACGGTATACTTTTGCAGTTTGACCTAGGCTGTGTTAGCCCTCAACAGTCTGTCATAATATGGCCAGAAGAATTCTAGATCATCTGGTTGCCCCTCAGAAAATCATACTGATCCACTTATATCCATGATGTCATGCTAACTGGATCAGATGAGCAGGAAGAGGCCAGTACAGTGGATAACCCCAAACACTACATGCCCTGCAGAGGGTAGGAGATAAAGCTTACAAAGATTCACGGGCCTTCTACTTTAGTAAATTTTGAGTTCTGGAGACAGCATGTTCCAACACCAGGGAAGAATGCTCTGGCCCAGATCCCAGGTGACCTGGCCACATTAGTTTGGGGTCCAGAGCAGGAAAAAGTTCTGTTGCAGGTCCAGGCTAGGCCAGCAGCCCTACTGCTCGAGTCCTATGGTACACGCGGGACAGAGCACAGGCAAAAGGCACACGCAGGCTGCTCGAGCAGGTGGCCAGACCCTTGTTTCACCCACACTTGCTGCATTGCCACCTCTACCTCACATCCCGCCTGTTGCCGTGTGACAGATTCCTGATGATCAGTGTCTAGGAAAGGAAAAAGCCTGAGTCCGTTTGATTCTCATGATACTGCTACAAGAAAGACAGTAGGATTATACCCATTTTGCAGTTGCATAAATGAGGCATGGAGAATGGAAATGAGTTGCTTAAGATTCCAAATATTCCAAATATTCTGCTGTTTCCACTGCCCATTTAAAAACCAAAGTCGGTTAAGTGTCCCAACTCCTGATTTTGGCTCAGATCACGATCTCACAGTTCATGAGTTTGAGGCCTGTGCCTACATTGGGCCTGTGCTGACAACGCGGGGCCTGCTTCGGATTCTCTCTCTCTCTCCTTCTCTCTCTCTCCCTCTGCCACTCCCCCACTCAAGCTTTCATGCATTCTCTCTCAAAATAAATAAATACACTTAAAAATTTTTTTAATAAAAAAAAAAAAACCGTGGTCTAGCTGTTATGAGTCACCATTTAGCACTCAGCAGGGAATGGCCTGTTCAGAAAACACATGTCTATGTATGTATGCATGTATGTGTGCATGGAAGTCATGCGGGAGTGAAAATACACACGTTAAGTTTATGGCAAAGGATGGAGTCTCAGATGATAATTGATACAATAAACACACAAACATAAGGACAAAAAAGGTCATTTAAACCCACAGAAAAGATACACTGACCTGTGTAAGATGTGGAATGTCTTTCTGGTCAACTCCGACTTCCTGAATTCACAAACGTAAACATTAAAACCGGGAGAGGCAACAAAGAAAAGTAAGTATCAGACCAATGTGCACACAAAAGAGAAAATACCGCTAGAGCATGAATGCCTTGCTGGGCTAGTGCCTAGCTGACCAAGCAAACCATGTCAAGCTAAAGTATGCCTTATATTCGTCCTAAGGATAAACCTATAAAAGAAAAGACTTGCCAGATAGTGAATTTTTGCTCTTCTGGAAAGAGCCAGATTGCATTTTGGGTATTATACACATGTGTTCTCATTTGTCAAGTACTGAGAGATCAGCTGCTATGCATATTGTTGTGGTTTTGGCTTTGGGTTTTTTTTTTTTTTTCCTGCTTTGGTTTTCAGAAGTTCAACTAGTTATCCCGCGTGGGTTCTGAATGTCAGGGCAAACGTGGGGGTCACCTCCTATGTTTCCTTCTTCAGCTCATCACTGACCTGTGCTACCTACTGTCCACTGCCTGAAAAGATGTCTATCACGTGAATTTGGCCCAGTGTTGGAGTTGTTTCTGGTGGGAGGATAAGCTTGGGAACACTTATCCTCATGGCTACAAACAAAAATCCTTGAACTACCTAATTTTAGTGTATAGTTTTACTGTTTACAAAATAGTTAAAATTCTACCAACTTCTGTGTGTGTGCGTGTGCGTGTGCATGTGCGTGTGTAGGGGGGGGGGGGGTCCCATTATACCAGATACTAAACTGATACAGAAACCAGCAGAAAAGCCATGGATAGGAACAGATTTCTGTACCTCTGCTACTTTCAGGAACTCTGCCAACCTGGTTGTTCTCGCAAGGAACTTGGTGCAAATATCCAAGCTTTCCTTGCACTGGCTTTTCCTCATATCAAAATACTTGTCTAAAAACGAAAAACAAATTGATCACGAAAGAGCCGATATCACAGCCAATTTCCAGTTACACTCCACTCTGATCATTCTTTCTTAAGCTGAATCTGTATATGATTTTAACTTGTTCAAAAACAATTCTAGTTTTAACCCAGTTATTTTCTGTCTTGGCCAGCAGCAACACTGGTCGATCCATATAAGCAACAGATTTTTATGAAGTAAGTACCACATGCCAAACACTATTGCTGGGAAGATACGGATAGTTTAGTTTAATTTCTCTAACTTTCAGTCTGTAATCTTATTTACTAACATCACAATCGGAAGCTTTCTGAGGGAAGGGGCTGTGTTTCCTACTCTTTTATAACTGTACAAATGTGCTAGATACTTCTTCACTGTAAGAAAAATCTCCAATTCTCATCAATGAAACTTGGAGAACACTTCGTATGAAATAGATCATTCATTAGGACTAAATTAGGGCAGAAACTTCTTGGAAAGCATAAGAAGTATACGCTTGTATATAATAATAGCAATTGTTATAGGCTATATCTTCCTAGTAAAGTCAAAATGATGTGATATGACCTTGGTGGAGTGGGCCTTAATGTGTAATGTATAAATATGGCAATCCATGTTGATTCCCTGGTAAATTTCCCAGAAATATCAATTAGCACTTATATAACAACTATAAAGTTCTGTGGCTAGTCAAGTAATTTTTATCCAAAAAAAGCAATATAATGTCTCATTATTTAAAACTATATATGACCTTGAAAGGATCTTCTATTTTGAATCTAAAACAAATATGAGTCTAAATGTAGACATAAAAGGTTTTTAACAGTTTATATATTTTTAAGCAATGTTTATTCCTTAGCCTACCTAGCAGATTAAGGATCCCCTCATTATAGGCTGCAAAGAGGCGAAGAGAATCCTTAAAGAGAAGCATGAAAGCAGCATGGATTATACCATTCGTTAACTGGTCAGGATTTGCCTGGAAATTAAATCAAAGACTAATCAGTTACCAGCACAGTTTAAAATAATTCCTTCTCCCACCTACTGGTAAACAATGCCATTTACCAATATGTTCAAAAAGGATTTATAAAGCTCTTACATTAAAATTAAGAAGAGCATCAAACTGAATTTGAATAACTGGAAGAGTGTTTAGCAGCTGTTTTGTATCCATAGTTCTCATCATACCATCCATCCTGTAAAAGAGAAGAGAGATTCATAACATCAATAATTAAGAGTTTGAGAAGCACAGTGACATCAGCATCGCAAAATAAAGCTGTGTTTTTAGCCAACTACATATCAGAACACTTATGTATTTCAGTATTTCTTGCTTACAAACGAATGATATTTACTGACCCTCTCCTGGCTTTGGTGATGTCAGATGTGATCAGTCTACATGAGAGTGACTTCTCATTCAAGTACCTGCTATATCGCCTGATGAAGGTTGACATAGCATAGCCTAAAAATGAAATATTTTATTATTTCCAGTGTAATCAACATTAACCATTTACAATGTATGTCAATAAATGCCGAGACTTCTCATTCCACATTCATCCATATACCTCTATGATGTCTTTGAAGCACAAAAGCTAGAATGGACCTTATTAATGATCTAGTCCAATATTCCTCACACTTTCTGCTAAAGGTTATTTCTTATTTCCTCAAAGCCTTGAAATCACCTCAGGATGTAGTGTTGATAGTGACATTTCTGAATCGAGGAAGTAATTGAACTTTATCAGGTTTTTTTTTTTCACATTTCTACACAACTATTGGAAATTCTTAGCATTTTCCTGAAACTCCCCATCCCATTGTCACCATCTGTCCCCAGCCCTGCCCATGTTTTAACCAGGCATAGTTTTCAAAACAGAGCTCCCCCTGTCTTGCCACATGGAAATATTTCCATCAAAAAATCACCTTACCTTCTAGCGCGCTTTTATCCAGGAAGTTGTGTAAAGTGAACAAAGAGCTTCTAGATGCAAGATGCTGGATAAAACGCTGTCAAATGTACCAAATTATAAAATTAGCTTCTGTCCACAAGTAGAGCTCTTTAACGAGTTTATCATTGTGAATGCATCTTTAACACAATTCTATCATATAGCTTCTGTCTATTTCAGGAGCGCTGATTAAGGTGAATGTGATCACATCCTGGGCTGCGCAGCATAAGAATATGCAGTGCTGCCAACTCTCCCAACGAAACAAGGGCTTAGACGTTGCAGCTCATGTGAATACACACTCTTTTCCACCAGGACTTTCTATCTAGCCATTCCCTCCTTTCTGATTTTGAGAAGTTTTACTTAATTCCAGAATTATTTTAATAGTGAATATTTAACGTTTTAATAACTTAATTTTCAGAAAAATATAATCTGATACATCTGTGTACCTCACTACCCAGAGATGATAACTGCTAACTTTTTCACAGAACTGCCTCAAGTCTATTTCAAAAATAAGAAGAAGAAAGTATATTATAAAGTAAAAAGCGCCCTTTGCCCATCCCCAAGTTCCATTTCCTTTTCCTCCCTGGAAGTAACGAGTATCATAGGTTTAATCTTTATAGTCTATTTTCTTTATAATTTCAGACATATTTGTCCCAAGGGTAAAAATTAAGTATTTTGAAATTTGCATAAATAATATTATATTTAAATATCATTCTGCAACCTACTTCCTCTCTGAGCATGGTTTTTCAGATCTAGCCTTGTTGGTATACATCCACTTAATTTTATAAACACCTCATTTTAGTTATCTGTGCCGTACTGATAGAAATTTACCTAATTTCTACTTTTCAATTATTATAAATATGCTACGAAAAGTGGATTTGCTGGGTCACTGGACTTGGCATTTTCAATTTTACTAAACACGTCTCAATGCTCTCCTCCCCACAGTCACAAACTCTAGCAACTAATATTTATATATCATCCACTGATGCTGTCACACGTTTAAAATGTTGCTTATCTGAGCATGTTCTCAGATGGTCATCAGCCATTCTGGTTTCCTTTTCTATGAACCCTCTGTTCATTTGTCTTGGGAACTATTCCACTGTAGTGCCTTTTTCTTACTGATAATGTATTCTGATTATTAATCTTTTGTCTGTAATGTATATGTTGGAAATACCTGATTCCAACTTTATGGCATCTTCCCTGCTCAAATGTCATAAACATATTCTCCCACATTTTCTTTAATTTTAAATGTTAGTTTTTTGCATGCATAGACATTTCATTCATGTGGAATGTATTTTCGTAGATTAGGGTAAGATAGAGATCTCGTTCTATTTTTTCCATAGGTTGTTATTTCTACCAAAAGGCTTTATTTTAAATTCTATACTTTCCCCCACATTTTTAGTGCCACCAAGCTCTGATAGAAGTATATGGTTCTACTTCCAAGCTCTTTATTATGTTCCGTGTAGATATGTTCCTTTTTTATCAATACCACACTGTATAATTAGTCACTTTATAGTGTTTCAAGATCCAGTCAATCTGTAAATCCTAACTTTTTAACGCAAAGCTTACTGAGACAAAATGTTAAAGTAGAGTAAGTAATTTCACGTTAAAGAACAATGTCAGTTCTGTAAAATACAAAGAGTGTTTGTATGTGGGGAGAGGTGGACCGGTGTTGCAAAGTAAAAGATAGCAAGCCTTGACAAACCAAGAATATTTTGCCATTGGGTACTGACAGTCCTTTGAGCTAACAGGAAGGAAATGATTACCCACTGAATGAATATACAGCACGCTCACCTCATTTCCATGAACCATGAGGTGATGCACAGTGACCAGGGCTTTAAACACTACCACCCAGCTGCTGCTCCTGACCTTCTCAGAAAGAACATCAGCCAGATGTTTAACACTCATATTTGTTTCGTTTACGTATTGTATTAGATCTGAATTAAGAGACAGTGACAAGCATTAAAACACGGACTGAGAAATACCTTTTGAAACCAAAATTGGTAACTTTAACTTAAATACAGATGCAATCAAATCTCAGAAATCACAACGGGAATAATCCAAAACATTTTCTTCATTACAGGTATTGCAATTTGTACTGATACGTGTTACGTGATAGTTAATGCCTGTCTACTCTCTTGTTCTGTATACTTGATGAGGGTAGGGACTGTGTCCATTTTGGTCACCAGATCTTCCCAAGACCCAGCACAGTAGTTGGCATACAATGGGTTATGGTAAATACTCGTTAAGTGAATGAATAGGACTCAAGAAGGTAACATACCAGATGTCATCCAGGCAGTCAAGTGGCAGGGCTGGTATTTGAAATCACATTTGTTTGACCAAGATGCTAACTATTACATCATACTGCCTTTTTTGAGAAAAGCGACATTATGTGAAGGTTCAGTCAGGAGCTCTCCTTGTAGTGTCACCCCGTGTTAACCCTCTTGTTTGCATGCCATAACCTTTTATTGCTCGTTCTCTTTAAAGAAATTTTTAAAGTAAACTCTACCTCCAACATGGGCCTCAAACTCATGACCCCGAGATCAAGAGTCACATGCTCCACTGACTGAGCAAGCCAGGTGCCCTTATTTCTTGTTCTTGAGTCCACTTCCACATAGCTTTGTCCCTACTTTACTAAAACAACTTCCCAATTTCCTGCTCTGGGTGGTAAGCATTCATACAACCCCTCAAGAGCTAATTTTCATCACTTCATTTTTCCATTCAGCAACAGGCAAAGATTCCCTACTTTCTGTCAGTTCAAAATCGTCTTTGGGGGCGCCTGGGTAAGTCAGTTGGTTAGGAGTCTGACTCTTAATCTCAGCTCAGGTCATGATCTCATGGTTTGTGGCATCAGGCCCCGCATTGGGTTCTGTGCTGAAAGCATGGATCCTGCTTCGGATTCTGCCTCTCTGCCCTTCCCCTGCTGGTTATCTCTGTGTCTCTCTCTGTTTCTCTCTCTCTCTCAAAATAAATAAACTTAAAAAAAACCCTCTTTCATTTCAAAACTGTCTATAAACTATCATTATAAAACAATTTCATCTCTAGCACTTAATCATTAGGCAGCACGGTAACAGGCATAGCACCAGGATCCATACTGAGGAGGGTGCTTAACAAATACGCTAGGTGAGCAACAGGCTGACCTTAATTGTAGACCCAGCCAGATTCATTTATTCAAGAATATACACTACATTCCAGTGGCTATGCCATGTTTAAGGTTATGAAGAATGAGCTTCTCTCACATTGTTTTCTAAGTCTGCTCCATTCCTCTTTCTGTGAAGTTTCCTCTGCAAGGTTTTTGTTTCTCCTTCCCCATGATTTCAGCCTTTGGACTGAACCTTCAGGATATCATGGTACTGACTCAAGTGCCCCCTTTGGTCCCATGCATCTTTCACATAGGTAACCATTATTCATCCTTTAGGTCTTGAGAAGCAAATTTTGGCACATATGCATCAACATCCAGGGATGTATTATATATTTTGCTCCAGAATCTCCTATGGGGCCTGCCCAGAATGCTATTAAGCATGTGTGTGTGTGTGTACATATAAATAATCTGTTTCACTTAGTGAAGTGTCAGTTGCTGTAATACATGCAGATTATCATGATGGTAAGTTAAAAATTCAGAAAGCAAATACATACTAAATCAATGGAGAGTTTTTAAGCAAAACAGCAAAATAAAGAGGTGATCAAAAGAGTGAGCTGGCTATGACGTTCTCAAAAGCAGCGGGATTTATGTATACTCGCAATAGCATGCATTGTTTATGAAGTCAGTGCTCAATGTGAACTCAAACAGTAGCGGGTAGGGCTAGCCTGGGAGTCTATTCTGTCTCTAAGCAACAGATTCTGTCACCTGGAAACATTCATGGGAGCACAAAAAATGTTGCAGTGGACATTGTAAAGCCTATCCATTGACCTTGGGTCAGGACTGCTCACGGGATGATCTGCTCTGCAAACTTTCCCTCCTTTATTTCAGAAGCCTTTGCTGAAAGTAATGATTTATAAGGGGGCCTGGGCGGACTTTGGAAGTGAGACCCCTTTCCTAAGCCTGGCTTTTATTATGCCACCGCTTTGTGTGTCCTAAGTTACTGGGGTAACTCGTAAATAGTTCAGAGTTTGGAGTTTAAAAGGCCAGTGGCTCCCTTCTAGGCTCACTCCAAGATGACTAGGGGTGAGAATTCCATCTCCTCCCAAACCTCCCGCAGGAAAAGGGGGCTGGTGGAGGGGAGTGGGGTGCCCCTGACGTTAGAGGCACCTGGGCCTCCGGGCCGTCTGCGCCAGGACCGCAACTCACCTGCCAGGTGTTTCGGCTCGGGTTCTGTGGGCTCGTCGGTGGTAGCCCCGAGGGCAGCCTTGGACGCAAAAGACCCCATGGTGCGTCACGGACCGCCGGCCACGAGGGTGATGGGTGCGGTGTCCGGTCCCTCCTCTTCTGGGCCAGCGGACCGAGCCAGGACCGGCACTGCAAGCAAAGGGCGGAGCACCTGAGGTGACGGAAGAAAGGCCCGGCTGTGCGGCTAGCCTTCACTTGGCAACCTTTTCTCTTTGCAGCCTGACGCACACCTGCAGCATCATGAGGTGGGGTTTGAAGCTGCGAGGCACCGGTCACATGACAATACTTTGGAAACCCTTGATGTGGCATTTTGAGGGAGGCTCCAGTCACATATTATGGAGGCTGCTTCCCACCTGAGGACATGTCCTCCGCCCCTTCGCCCAGCATCAGACATATAAGTCCGTAGGGTTGTTCGTACGGTCCCTTCATTACACTTTTCAAATGTACGGAACCCGTACTGATGTTGCCACTGTCGTGCCTTATATTGGTAAGTCTTCTCTGTTCTTTTTCTTCACGGTTCTGGGCAGAGAGCTATCAACTTTCATCATCTCGAAGACCCAACTTGTGGTGGGGTAGATAACCTATTTGAGATTCCTCTTTATAATATTAGCAGTTAGGCTTAAGTACTGCCTTTCTTCTCAAAGAACATATTTCTTGATTTCAATCTTTTAAAGTTTGTTGAGATTTGATTTATGAAACAGAATATGCTCTCCCAAGATCAGTGTTCTCTATACTCTCGGAAAGATGCATATTCTTCTACTATTGGGTGCAATGTTCCAATCAAATGTGTAACATAGTTCCTGATATTGTATCACAAGTGATTGGAGCCATCTCCTTCCCTGACCATGCTTCAAATGGGAGACTTTCTCTTCATGTCTCTTCAAGTTCAATAACCTTTTCTTCTTTCTTCTGCATTCCAATCTTCTGCTAATCTCATCCAGGACAGGCTGCATTTCGAATATTGTATTTTTCATCCCTGGAAATTCCATTTGGTTCTTTTTATATCATCCATTGCTCTCCTCATTAGGATCACATTGTCCTTTAAACCCTTGAGGATATTCCTAATAGTTATATTGGTTATTTTAAGATGCTTGTCTGCTAATTCTTTCATCTTTCATAATTCTAGGTGTTTCTGTTGACTTTTTTTTCCTTGTGCATGAGTCACATTTTTCTGCTTCTCCCTATGCCTAGCAATTTTGTATGAATGCCAGACACTGTTACTTTTACTTTGTTGAGTCCTCTATGTTGATGTATTCTATTAAAGAATGTTGAGGTTTGTTTAGATAGGCATGTATGATACTTTGATATCACATACTTTCAGGTCATGTTTTCTTTTTTTTTTTTTTTTAATTTTTTTTTTAAACATTTATTCATTTTTGGGACAGAGAGAGACAGAGCATGAACGGGGGAGGGGCAGAGAGAGAGGGAGACACAGAATCGGAAACAGGCTCCAGGCTCTGAGCCATCAGCCCAGAGCCTGACGCGGGGCTCGAACTCACGGACCGCGAGATCGTGACCTGGCTGAAGTCGGACGCCCAACCGACTGCGCCACCCAGGCGCCCCTCAGGTCATGTTTTCTTAAACAGCTTTATTGATACTTAATTCACACATTGTACAATTCACCAATTTAATCTGCAATTCCGTAGCTTCTAGTACATTCAGAGTTGCACAACCATCACCAAGATCAAGTTACATCTTTACCACCTTCAAAAGAAACCCCAGACTCATTAGCTGTCATTACCCATTTCCCCCTAAACTTCACATCCCTAGGCAACTACTCTTCTACTTTATGACTCTAAAGATTTTCTGGACATTTCATATAAGTGAAATCATTCAGTATGTGGGCCTTCGGCAGTGCTTTCTTTCACTTAATATATTCTAGGTTCATTCATCTTGTAGCATGTATCAGTACTTCATTTTTTTTATGGCCAAATAATATTCCACTGCATGTATATACTACAATTTATGTATTCATTCATTGATGGATATTTGGGTTGTTTCCCTATTGAACTATTGTGAATACTGCTTCCTTTACAAGTTTTTGTTTCAATACCTGTTTTCAGTTGTTTGCGGTATATACCTAGGAGTCATACGGTCATATGACTTTAACGATCAATCGGTCATATGTTAATTCTGTGTTGAACTTTTTGTGAGAAATTGCCAAACTATTTTCCACAGTGGCTGAACAATTTCACAACCCCATGAGCAATGTATGAGGGCTCTAATTTCTCCACATTTGTTTGATTTCAGCCATCCTACTGTGTGGGAAGTGGTAACTCTTTCAGGTTTCATTTGCATTTCCCTGATGACTAATGATTTAGAGGATTTCTTTCATGTACTTTACAGGGAATTTGTGTATCTCCTTTGGGGAAATGTCTATTCAGATCCTTTGCCCATTTTTAAATTGAGTTATTTATCTTTTTTAAGTTTTATTGAGGTCTGATTAACAAAAATTATGTATATATTTAGGTTGTACAACGTCATGTTTTCTTTTAAGGTGTATAACATGAGGATTTATTTATTACATTTATATTATTCTTAAGAGTTCATTATAAACTAGTTTCATAGGCCACAAAGAAGTAAAAGGACTAGTACAGCCTTACAGGAAACAGGCAGGGGGTTGAGGAGGGCCAGTATGGGTCTAGGGCCTTGGTGGGTGCATTCTGGGGGGAGAGGGCCCTGAAAGGGAAACCAGACAATCCCGTGAGACTCAGAGAACAACGGCATAACAAACAGATCTGTGGCAATGTGGCCCTGGAGCACTGGGCCCATGCCTCTGTGGAGCAATTTCCATAACTCTGTGGCCAAGGGTCAAAGAAGGCCTCAAACCCCTGGAAGAAGGGGGCTGCATCCCTGGTGGGAGCATGCCAATTGGAGTTCCTCGTCCAGAAGGGGATCCCCATCCCCATCCCCCCATCCCCATTGGGGAACCCATGGGAGGCCTCATGACAGGTGGTGGGCCCATCGTGCCTGCAGGGGGTGCCCTCAGCCCATAGGTGTGAAGGACCCCCACAGCCAGGTAGATATTGGGTTGGGGCCCCTCCAGTTCTGACTGTGGCAGTAGCTGCAGCGGCTGCCACAGTGCCTCTTCCTTGCCGGGTCGTCACTTGTTGGGATGGCCCTCAGACTGGCCCAGCAAGTCCTACAGGAGTGTAGGGCATCAGAACACCAGTGGGGATTCCTCTGCCCAGAGCTCTCCCTATCCCTGGGTCCCTGGCAGCTCCAGCAAGTGATAGTCGTGCAATGCCAGTATCTTTGGGAGTAGACCCGTCTACTGTCATTGACACTAGCTTCTCTCCCCAAAGTAGCACCAGACCGAGGACTCACTTCTCTTCTCTTTCTGCTTGTTTTGAGTTCTTTGGCTAGATCTTCCTGAATTCTTCACAGTCACAGAAGACCAAATTCATAAGCTGGCCGAAAGCCTTGAAGTCTTGAACGTGCTAATGAAGATATGGCCATCTTGCGGGATGTACCTCACCCTGTAGTCAGTGTGCTGCGGTTGTGATAGCTCCAATTCCGGCTCAATTCCCTCAGCACAGCCCAGATCACACCACTGCTCCTGCAAGTGTGGCCATGGATAAAATGGGATCTGGTAAAAGCTATTTTCCATCCTGGCGCTGGGCTCTTGAGTTCCACATGAGGATTTAATATATGTATACACCGTGAAATGATTACCACAATCAAGTTACACATCCATCACCTCACATACTTACAGTTTTTCTGTGTGTATGGCAAGAACACTTAAGATCTACTCTTTCGGCAAATTTCAAGTGTACTATAAAATTTTATCAACTATGGTCACCATGATGTACGTTAACTAATCTCTCTCATAACTGAAAGTTTGTACCCTTTAACCAACTTCTTCTCATTTTCCCCTCTCCTCAGCCCCTTGCAACTGCCATCATTCTACTCTCTGGTTATATGAGTTCAGCGTTTTCAGGTTCCACATATAAATGAGATCATGCATTAGTTGGATTTCTGTGTATGGCTTATTTCACTTAGCATAATGTTCTCCAGGTTCATCCATTTTGTCACAAATGGCATCATTTCCTTCTTTCTTATGGCTAACTAATATTCCATTGTATATACACCACATTTTCTTGATCGATTCATCCATCAATAGACACTTAGATTGTTTCCACATCTTGGCTATTAGTAATAATGCTGCAATAAACATGGGAATGCATACATCTCTTTGAGATCCTGATTGCATTTTCTCTGGATATAGACCCAAAAGTGGGATTGCTGCTGAATCATTCAGTAGTCTATTCTTAATTTTTTGAAGAATCTCCATACTGTTTTCCATAATGGCTATATCAATTTATATTCCCATTAACAGTGTGCAGGTGTTCTCTTTTATCCACACCCTCACCAATACTTGTTATCTCTTGTCTTTTTAAGATTTTTTTAAGTTTAAATGCTACACCCAGCACCCAACGTGGGGCTCAAATTCATGACCCCAAGACCAAGAGTCACATGCTCCACCAACTGAGCCAGCCAGGTGCCCCATCTCTTGTCTTTTTACCTCACAAGTGTGAGGTGATATTTTGTGGTTAGGGTTTGCATTGTCTGGCTTTTCATACACATGTTGACAATTGTATGTCTTCTCTGGAAAAACATTCATTCAAGTCCTTTGCCCAGTTTTTAATGCTTTTATTTTATTTATTTATTTTTAAATCTACTTATTTATTTTTTAATTTACATCCAAGTTAGCATATAGTGCTATAATGATTTTAGGAGTAGATGCCAATGATTCATCCCGTATGTATAACACCCAGTGCTCATCCCAACAAGTGTCTTCCTTAATGCCCCTTGCCCATTTAGCCCATCCCCCCACCAAACCTCCTCCAGCAACCCTCAGTTTGTTCTCTGTATTTAAGAGTCTCTTATGGTTTGCCCCCCCTCCCTATTTTTATATTATTTTGGCTTCCCTTCCCTTATGTTCATCTGTTTTGTATCTTAAATTCCTCATATGAGTGCAGTCATATGATATTTGTCTTTGACTGGCTTAATTTCCCTTAGCATAATACCCTCTAGGTCCATCCATGTAATTCCAAATGGCAAGATTTCATTCTTTTTGACTGCCGGGTAATACTCCAATGTATATACATACCACGTCTTCTTTATCCATTCATCCATCGATGGACATTTGT